CCAATATACTTGTAGATGATCTAAAGTTCAAAAGTTTCTAGAACTGATTCTAAAAAGTAACTCTTTAATTTGTTGTCCTTTGTTAACCAGCCAACTGAATCAAATAGGGTTGATTGATGTTATATAACTTTGGCTATCTAGTCCTTGTACTTATTCTTGTTGAGTTAGTCTCACATTTAATATTCACTATACAATAGCCATTTAAACTCTTAATATCTTTTCCATTTATTAATTTAGTATAAACTGTCTTCTTTTAGGTAGAAATGAGATTGGGCCTATTGATTGACTTTTAAATTTATCTTGACTCTTTCATTTATGAGTGTCCTTAGGGTTACCTTGGGGCCCTGATGAAATTCACATACTTCCAGAATTACTTAACCCCAAAAGGAAGTTTATTCAGCTATTAATTAGGATTAGCCAGGTATGTACTTCACGTTTAACAGCTGTAGACTAAATATTTTTAAGATTATGTTTTTAATGACTTCTGGCAATTGGCTTAGGATAATTTTAGCAGGACTCAGAATTAATCATTTCCTTTTGTACCATATCTTCTCGTATAAGGAAGCTCTAAGAGTAAGTCATACATTCAGAAAGATAACCACTCATGCCTACAGGGAGCAATTTAGTTTACTAGATTGGTAATTAATAGGCATAACTACCTATTGGCCAGAAATAATGTATCCTTTTACCTAATTTTTCCTGTAGTGTCAATAAATTCACCTGGTAATACTGTATTGGTTGATTGTAATCTCTTGACATTACGTTTATAACAGCCATTTTCTACAGTTGTTTGCTAATTTTGCCAGTCACGAATATGGTAAACATTGCCCTCTGCTTCCTATATGCCTATTAATACAGTTATCTTAAGATACAGAATTCATATAGTGAAAAAATGCAGTGGGCTAAAGTAAAAACATACTGTTCTGATATAATTGAGGAGCGGCAGTGGAAGGGAGGCAGCAGAAATTTAATTTTTAAGAATCCTTCCAGCCCTTAAAACTCTTTACTTTTCAGGAACGTAGATGATCACATGATAAATAAAAGTCTTCTGAGACATTCTTCTGCTTTTTTTTAAAAAAAAAAAAAAAAACTTTTCAGTCCTATTGATTTTTATTTTTTAATTTGAGGTGGATGTTTAGTTACCCCTGTTAGTTAATCAGGGTGCATTGTACTTTGTCCTTGATACAATGAGAATACTTTTTTTTAGTGCTACTTGAGGTCAAAAGCAAAACTACTTTCTAATATATTATGTGACTTTGGTGAGAAATTGTTATGGTTTGGACATAAAGGATGTGAGAATTTATATGAATGCTAAGTGATAAGAATGTTCTAGGAGGTACATTCTAAAAATTATCTACAAATATGGTGAGTGGTTATGCCAGTAGATTCTCCACCCTTTTTCTATCCCACTGCCTCTTTCCTAAATCTAGAATAGCTGCTACCACAGTAGCCTGTTGCTAAATTATAGTCAATTTTTCTTTTTTTTTGCATATGACAAAAAGAAAAATGTTTTATTTTTTTTTATTAGTAGAATCTCAATAGGCTCTCTGATTGTATTTTTTAAATAATATTTTATTGTATTTTCAGTGAAGGTTTACACAGCAAATTAGGTTCCCCTTTAACAATTTCTGCCCAAATTATTCAGTAACATTGGTTACATTTTTCACAATGTGTCCACATTCTCATTACAGCCACTGCTAACTTATGGACATGGTTAGGTTCCAAAGACCGGATTGTTACGTGAAAGTTGACGCTGTGGGAAATGGAGGATGACCACATGATATATAACTGCCAAATTACAGCCTTATACAACGGCCAAACCACTGAGAATCATGGTCCAGCCAAGCTGACGCATAGCCTTAACCATTGCAGTCACCGTTGCTCTTACCTCGCACCTCAGCCGTCATTACTGCCAGACATATGTCGTTAATGCATGGAATAGTCAGACGGTGGAGTTTTTACTATTGTCATAAATGTGAAATGGCAGATAATGAGATAGTCCATAAGTAAGGAATGGATATATTTCCATTCTAGTTGTTCCATTTCCAGTAATCTAGTTTCCCTGCCCCCTTACCTTCTCATCGTTACTTTACTGTAATTGTTGACCATTTGATCTCATATGTTGCTGTTATTAGCGCCATCAGGTTGGTTCCATCTCACAGTGACCCTGTGTACAACAGAACGAAAAACTCACTGCCTGTTCCTGCACCATCCTCACAGTCATTGCTAGCTTGAGCCCAGTATTGCAGCCGCTATGTTAACTATCTCATTGAGGGTCCTCCTCTCTTCTGCTGACCCTCTACTTCACAAGCATAGCGTTCTCCAGGGTCTGGTCCCTCCTGATAACATGTCCAAAGTACATGAGGTGAAGGCCTGCCATCCTCTCTTCTAAGGAGCATTCTGGCTGTACTTCTTCTAGGACAGATTTGTTTGTTCTTTTGATAGACCATGGTATACTCAATATTCTTCACCAACACCATAATTCAAAGGCATCAGTTCTTCTTTTGTCTTCCTTATTTATTATCCAGCTTTTGGCGATTGAAAATACCATGGCTTCGATCAGGTACACCTTAGTCCTCAAAGTGACATCTTTCCTTTTTAACACTTTAAAGAGATCTTTTGCATCAAATTTGCCCAATGCAATACATCATTTGATTTCTTGATGGCTACTTCCATGGATGTTTATTATGCATCCAAGTAAAATGAAATCCCTTGACAGCTTCAGTCTTTTTGGGAACCTCTGAAAAAATAAATGTCAGGTGAAAGCAAATGGCGAAGATTGGTTTGTATTATGTTGAAATTTATCTAAGTGAAAACATTAATCTTGGGAAATTTAACAGAGGAGCTAATTTAGTAATATTTTCATGTATTAAAAAGTGAGCTGTGTGGCATTTGCGTTCTAGTTGGGACACATAGGGGATTAACAGTAAACAAGTAAACAAAAGTATTTCAGATAGTTATAAGTGCTGTGAAGAAATGAAGTAGGATAATGAGATCAGGGAATTTTTTGGTATTAAAAAATTATCTTTTTATTGAGTATTTCTAAAATAATTAAGATATATAGTTTTAGTTTTTGATTAATTGAATTAATTGTTAAAAGTATACTGTGAGCATCATGAAAAGTAATGAAAGGCTGAGGAGAACTGTTCCAGATTGAGAAAGACTAAAGAGATGTTGTCATGAGGTGCCGTTCAGTTGATTTCAACTCATAGTGCCCCCGTGTGGCGAGCAGAACTGCCCTATATGGTTTTCTAAGCTGTAACCTTTACATGGAGCAGATTGCCAGGTCTTACTCCCGTGGAGTGACTGGGTGGGTTTGAACTTGCAACCTTTCACTTAGCAGCTTAACCGTTGCACCACCAAAACCAAACCAAACCCATTGCCATCGAGTTAATTCCGACTCATAGTGGCCCTGTAGGACAGAGAGAGAACTGCCTCGCGGGGTTTCCAAGGCTATAAATCTTTGCAGAAGCAGACTGCCACAACTTTTCTCCCACAGAGTGGCTGGTGGGTTGGAACCGCCGACCTTTGAGTTAGCAGCTGAGCACTTTTGCCACTGTGCTACCAGGGCTCCTTTGTTGCACCACCAAAGCTCCTTAAAGAGATTTAAAACTAAAGATAATGTACAATCCTAGATTGTATCCTGTACTGAAAGTTGTTTTTTTATTGTTGTTGATGCTGTAAAGTACGTTATTAGCACAGTGGACAATTTTGGAATATGGACTGTAGATTAGATAAAAGCATTGTACCAATTTTAGATGCCCTGAGTTTGATCGCTGTACTATGATTACATAAGAGATGAGCATTGCTCTTAGGAAGTACATACTTAAGTATTAAGGGGCAATGGGGCATCATATATGTACGTTTCTTTCAGATGGTTGATAATAAATAAAATGTTCATACACACGCATACACAGAAAAAGAATGTTAAAAAATAAATGTGGCAAATCTGGCTAAAGGACAGACAGGAATTTTTTATATTATTATTGCAACTTTTTTATAAGTTTGAAATTATTTCAAAATAGAAAACCCAAAAAAAGGAAACAAAAGTGTATTTTCCCACACATGATGCGCTGCTCTTTACATGAGTGCTCGTTCTGTTAAAGCTGTGAGATAGATATTTAATATTGCTATTCCAGTTTTAGAGATGAGGACACGAAGGCTTTGAAAGGTCAATAACCCACTTACGTTCACACACTGAGAATGTGGCGCAGGTATTTGATCGGCTGTGACCATTAAATCCTCAAGCAAAATATTAATAGATCTTTAAAGAAGTTTAGGAAAGTGACTTTAAAACGTTAAATTTTCACCACACCATGCCCCTGTACTTTCTCAAGAGTAATTCCTGGTGTATTCTCCTGGAAAATTAGTAGACAATGAGGAGTGTCTGCACATGTGTATTTCTCAAATGAGAGTACAGTCATGCACCGCATAATGTCTGTTGTCCCACAAGGTTATAACAGAGTCAGAAATCCCAGTCAGAGAGTGCGACATACTGGATGTAACACTTAAGAAACACTGCTGAACTGCACCGTGTTTTCATGAACATCACAAAGTAGTGCATGAGGTCATTATTACGAACCACTGTATATATTTAACTCACATTTTTAATATAATAAGCTCTATGGCAGTCCATTCTTCAGTACAAATTGTCCATAAGTTAGGGGTTTGTAACCTGATGACTGCCTGTATATAATATGGTATTCTCATAACGTCCAAATCACATGACGTCCTATTTCACAGAACGTATCATGGATGTTAAGCAATGTATGACTATAATAAATATTCTGTAATCCAACTTGCACGATCTTTTTGATCTCTCTCATCTTAATTTCTGTATTGAGTCCTTGTGAAGTAGATTAACTAGCAAGACTTCTTTATTAAAATAATAGAAATACTCCATTATTTAAAAAAAAAAAATAGCTCCTCTCTGACTTCAGTTTGTATCTAAGATACATTTGCTATATGTATAGTAATTTTTGCCGTTTGACTTTTGACAGGTGGTTTTGGAATGTATGCTTAAAAAGGACCTCATTTACAATAAGGTCACTCCAACATTTCACCACTGGAAGATCGATGACAAAAAGTTTGGCCTTACCTTTCAGAGTCCTGCTGATGCCAGAGCTTTTGATAGAGGCATTCGAAGAGCGATAGAGGATATTTCTCAAGGTAGGTTTTCTTGGCTCTTAGTTTGTTCACCAGTTATGGAAACTAGAGGTCGTCTTTCTAAAAGTTGACCCAAAGTAGTTCTTGCATTTTAAGGAAGCCAGCTTTTTTGATATATAACCAGGCTTTGAAAGTTCACTATAGGTAAAGATAAAATAGTAGACTCCTTAGCCTCTTTTGTAATTGTCAAATTAGAGTCTGTACCAGTTGCGTGTATTATCTTGGAGAGCCCATCAACAGCAACTTCAGATAATGAAAATGTTTTAACATAAGAGTCTGAAGAAATGAGTCAGCCTTTTTGATATATGATTATCAGAGAAGTGAAGGAAGGAAAGAGGGGAGCAGTGAGATAGAGCTGTCAGAATCCCAATAAGATATCTGTCTGTGTGTCACATCAGTCACATCCTCATTTTGGTAATGATAAAGAGAGAATTTGTAATACCCAAATATATGTAGACTCTGTTAGGCAAAACCCTTCTTACCTCTTTACCTGATTTCATTATCTAGGATTGGCAGAGGTCACAACTCCATTTTATCTATCTCTTTGTGTATCTTACCAGTTATTAACTATAAAGCATGCAAGTTTTAAATGGAGGAGGCATGTATTTTCACCAAGGCTCTGCTTATTTATTATAAAACAGAAATAAATCACATTAAAACACATTTCTTCCCAAACAGGAAGAAATAACTAAGACTTGATTTGCTTTTCTAATTAAGGAAAATCGTCTCTTAATGGAAGTGACTTAAATAAAGTAACTGAATCAAAATGTGTTAGACTACACTGTGATTTGTATATTTTGAAGATGGCATTTTAATACAAAAATTTGGTGAAATGAACTAATTATGAGAGTAACCATAGGCAAGAACATGGAAGTGCTTAGTACAAATATGTTTTGATAGTGTGTGAAACTCTGATTAAATAACTTATTTAGCTACTTTAAAAGATGAGACTTTGATAAATAAGCATTTCTTGATTTCTAATTCAGAAAACGTTACCATCATATGATAGTAATCGTTTTATTACAAGAATCTACAAATTCTCCCTAGATCAGTATTTTTCAGCTGTGGTTGCATGTTAGAATCACCTGAAGAGCTTTTGAAAAATAGAACTGGTTCCCATCCCATTCCAAGTGAATCCAACTATCTGGGGAATGGGGTTGAGTCATCTTGTTTTTTAAAAGCTCCGCAAACTGTTCAGATGCAGTAAGAAGTCACTGCTTTAGCCAGATGATGGTAATTTGCATTAAGAAACACAAAAAAGGGGATTATGAATCCTAAGATTCTCCACTACTGGTTCTCAAACCTGGCTTCAAGATAGCATCACCTGGGAAACTTAAAGATTTAAAAAAAAAAAAAAAAATGCATCATGCCCTGGGCCTTAAGCGGAAACCCTGGTGGCACAGTGGTTAAGAGCTACGGCTGCTAACCAGAAGGCTGGCAGTTCAAATCCATCAGGTGCTCCTTGGAAGGGTAGTTCTACTCTGTCCTGCAGGGTCACTGTGAGTCAGAATCGACTTGACAGCAACAAGTTTTGGGTTTTGGGGCCTTACACAGAGGTTTTAACGTTTTTAGTTTGGGGTAACACTCTGTCTGGCATTCATATATTTTCTGCAATTCTCCAGTTGATTCTCATCCTTAGCTGAGGTTGAAGAACCAGTACTTTAAAGTGAAAATCGTTATCCTTGGGTGTGGAAATTTACATGATTTAATTAAAGTTTTGAATTACATTTAAGCACACAATCATGACCACATAAGAGTATACTTTTTCAAATAGATTGGGTTTAATGTTTTAAAAGGTGATTTATAAGAGGGGGCTGACAAATTCCTAGCCAGACAGAAGAGACTACAATGCTCAATGAGCTGTCTCCTCCTTTAGGAAAGACGTATTATCAGCTGCTAAGTAAATTTTCAACAACCCGTTAAATTTCTCTTATTTAGCCTTCTATGCAAATAAGAATAAGCTTATGTCGCCCTTTCGAAAGGGCAAATTTCTCCCTCTCTCATGATTGTCCTGTGTTATCTGTGTCTTTGGGGGATACGTAAACTTAGAATACTTTGCTAGGACAGATCTCTCCTTATTAACTTATCAGATCAAAAGGCACTCTTGTATCCCAGGAAAATCTATAGAGAGACATTGATGCACAAAGGTCAGTGGCAATAATTGGCCACTGACTATCAGCAGTCAATGAAGACAATCATTTACTTTCTGTATTGAAGCAACTGAAATCTAAATACTGTTTCCTGAATCAGAGCAATTAGGAAGGTTGAATAAATGATTTTTGGGTGTCTCCTGGAGTACCTGAGTGGTATAAGTGGTTAACGTACTCTGCTGCTGACCAAAAGGCTGGAGATTTGAGTCTGCCCAGAGGCACCTTGGAAGAAAGGCCTAGCAGTCTGCTTCCAAAAAAGTCAGCCACTGAAAACCCTGTGAAGCACAGTTCTACTCTAGACACACAGGGCCGTAGCCAGGGTAACGGGCGACCAGGGCAGTCTCTAACATGCACCCCCTCCCCATCTCAAGATGAAGACATTCATAGTGGTGACAGTCAGCGGATACGCCTTCCGCCGTCTTGTCGGGTCACCTCAGTCAGGCACATTTCATACTTGTGGTGGGTCGGAAGGCCATTCCACGCCTCCTCTGGGCCCCCTTGGACTTGTGCCTGAGGGCTAGTGCCCCCTGCTGGTCTCCCGCCTCTGTATGCCTCTGCTGGCACACATGGGGTCCTTGTGAGTCGGAGTTGACACAACAGCAGCTGATTTTTAGTTTTAACTGCAGCGTCTCCTAAACATCAGGGAGTATGGTACATAGCAGTTCAAGAGAATTTAGGAGAAATCTGGCGCAGGGCTTGCTAGAGCTAGTACATTTTCAGAGAAACGTCTCTTTAGTAAGTAACTGAGGATTTCCCTATAGGAGAGGAAAACTATCACTTTATTCTCTAGTTTTCTGTCATAAGAACAGGTGTGAGTGGCCAACATCTGACAGATTGCCAGCAGCCCACGGTTACAATGACATAATCAATTACTTATTAATATTGAAGTATAAAATGAAAATTCTGTACTTCTGTAGAGGGTTAATATGTTGTGGGGTTGTTAACCAATGTCATAAAAAAACGTGTGCTACTGTTTCATGAGAAACTATTTGTTCTGTAAGCCTTCACCTGAAGTGCAATAAAATATAAAAAAAAAAGAAAGAAAGAAAATTCTGTACTTCAGTACCTTTTACCTGTTTTGTTAGGATGCCCGGCGTCAAAAAATGAAGCTGACGGACCAGAAAATGACTTACAAGTAAGTAGTTGGGCTTGAAAAAGAATTTCTAAACGTAATAAGCATAACGACTGTGGAAGAAATCATTATCCTTTATAAGTAAGTAACTCATATAGATTATTAAGAAAATTTCTAAGACACCCCCCCAAAAAAATAGGCAAGGTACTTGTATAAAAAAATTACAGAAAGGGAATTATAAATTATTAATAAGCATATGGATACACTTGTTTTATCTCACTAATAATCAGCTGGTAGTATAAATTAAAGCACGTTAACATTTTTCAATTACCAAAGGTTTAAAACAATAATGTACTATATGCTGTGTCTGTCTGAGATGGACACATTGATCCCTTCTTGGAGAAAGTGTAGATGGTCCACATTTTATATAGAAAGCAGTTTGACAGTATGTGTTAAAAAGCCTTAAAAATTGAAACATTCATGCCTGTTGATTCAGTGATTCAATTTTTAGTAATCTGTACCAAAGAAACTGAGATGCATAAAATCATATACACAGAATTAATGTATGTGTGTACTCACACATATAAATTGTATAGTTCATGAACTGCCTTACAATATATTGAGCAATAAAAACAAACAAAAATTGTATTGCATTATTTTCATTACTTAGCTAAAATGTTAAATATTTTTGTTGGTTATCTTTGAGTTTTGGGATTCTGAGTTGTTCTGACGTTCTTTTTAATACTTTTCTGTGTTTTTCAAGGTTTTTTTTGGTGCGGTATTTGTATATGCAATTTGTATTAATAGTCCAATATTCATATTAACTTAAAAATAATTGTGATCTAAAGAAATGGTAGGATGTTTTTATATACATAATTGCTTATTTTAATATTTTTATATTACAGCAAACTTTAAAGAAAAAACAAATATGATACCGTCCATTATAACTACCATTAATATTTTAGGTATTTTTCAAGTTTAGAATTTTTAATTTTTCAATTGTGTTTTTTATGAATGTAGCCCAATTATGAATCCTCTATTGTATATTTAAGAGCTCTGATGTGTGTGTATAAATATGTTTATTTCATTGATGGTTTATTATTTTTTTTAAATACAGTGAACAGTAGTTAATTAGGCGTTAAATACATTATAAAATGCAAAAAATAGATATTTTTTAATTATTCATTTTCTAAAGTTCCATTTTGTTCTGGTGTCAATCTAAATATGGGGCTGGGAATGGGGAAACATTTTCTGAATTGCTCTCTGTGATGAATGTAAATTTTGTTAAAATTCAGTTAAAAAAATAGCTTTTTCATATAGTAACATTCTTCCTCCTACATAACGGCTGTTTATTTTAATACTCTTCTGACTGAGTTTCACCTAATTTCTATATATAACATTGTGTAAAAAAGCTCCTACAGGACACAGTAGTTTGCAAGACTTTGTGCATATGTAACAGTTAATAATAGCCATTGTTGGTTTTTATAATCCTGTTTACTGCTAATACCAGGTATGTCACAGCTTTGGAATAGCATAAAGAGAGGGGAGGATATGAATGAGGAATAAGAATTTTATCACAGATTCAGGCAAAAATAGTAGAAAGCAGAGGGAGGCAGAGGCTAGTAAAAGGGTTACTGTATAATAAAAGCTAGAGCGGTTACTCTCTCCGTGGTAATGGATCTCCAGTGCTCCTGGTCCAGCAGTCATACACACACCCCTACACGCCTGAAGAAGCTAGTTGGATTTTGCTTTCATTGGACATAAAGCACTTGCTTGTTTTTTATTTTCACAGTAAAATAGGTAAATATGCAGTGTCACTAGAAACCCTAGTAATAGGGTCCGTTATCAATTACATTTAAGAGTAATTGCAATATAAGAGCAATTTTTATATATAAAGTTCATCCTTGGTTTTTACATACTGTGGTGTTTTTAAAATGAGTTCACACATTTTTTAATATTCTTTCTTTCAATGGAGTCTACTCTGCATCCCACTGAATGTGCACTCTACTTAGCTGTTTCTTAACAAGGAGAATGTAGTGGAAATGACAGAGTGTGGCTTCCAAGGGTAGGTCATAAAAGACATTGCAGCTTTTGTCTGGCTCTCTTTCTTGAATCGCTTATTCTAGGGGATGCCAGCTGCCATGTCGATGAGGACACTAGATCAACCCTGTGGGGGGATCCTTGTGATCAGGAACTGAAGCCTCCTGACAATAGCCGTCCTAGTGTGAACTGTCTTGGAAGCAGATCCTCCAGCCCTGAAAAAACCTTCAGATAACTGTAGATAAATAAGGCTGCTGTATTGACTGCGATCTTATGAGGGATCCTGCGCCAAAATCACCTAGCTAAAATTGCTTCCAAATTTTTGACCCACAGAAACTGTTAAATACTAAATGTTCATTTTTTGAGTCTGCTAAATTTTGTGGTAATTTGTTATGCAGGAATAAATATTCCACCAGCAGAAAGGGAAGTTTAACTTTTCCTTAACATGATTAGAATGATAGCTAACATTTATAATAGCACTCATTTAATCCTACTGTCTGTCCCACTCCCAACTTTTTTGGATGATATCTAGCTTCTCTTATTAGAAGAATGTATTGTATCTTGGTTTTATAGCCACCTTTATAACTAAAAGCGTGTTCACATGGAAGAAATCCTAGTTCTTACTAGTTCAAAAATATTCTGAACCTGATTATTTAATATATTAACCTTAGTAGTAAGAAAAGAAGGGGGAAATACTGAGGTGCTAGCAAATATATGAGAGTTTTTCTGAAAATCCTGTTTGAAAAGGTTTTAAAAGAATCACATTCCAAAATTATAATTGCCAAAGAAAATTCTTAAATTTACCTTAACCTGTTGCTGTCGAGTCAATTCCAACTCATAGCAATCCTTCCTGCTTAGTAGCATTTATTTCATGATACGGCAAGGTTTTAGAACTTCATTCTTATTTTGACATACGTTGGAAGTTATAAAGTATTCTGATTTATTGAACCACTGTAGTAGGAATAAAGTACATCCCAAGTATATTTCATAATTCCCCTTATGTGCTTTGTACAGACAGTGTGAAATAGGTTGATGGTGAGTTCAGGTAGTGGTCACACTAGGTTAATTTTAATGGTCATCATTTGCAAAGACAACTAAAATGATTTTTTAAAAATAACCTATTAGTTTTCTGAACTCAAAAGTAATGATTTTGTTACGTAGATCATAAACATCTTGAAGCCAATAAATATCAGAGTGCAAACACTCTCCATTTTGAATATTCATTAATTCATTCAACAAATATTTGAACACCTGTGCCAATAAGTATGCTAGCCATTTGGTTATTTGCTGGTGTATAATTTTCTGTTTTCAGCAGTTTAATGTTTTCATCGCTGATCATAAATAAACAGAAAGAGGTTTACCTTTCTATTTCATATATTTGTTTCTGAAGCGTTTCATAACAAATCATCATTTCAATTTAAAATCACATCTTGCTTATCTTTGTGTCCCTGATATACCTAGTACAGTTCTGGTCAAGTGTGTATATAGTTGGTACTCAAGAAAGATTTTTTTGAAGAAAACTCCTCAAGATTGGGATTTTTTTTTTTATTTAACCTGACCAGTAATAAAACATGAATGTTTTCTTTCTGCAACTATTTTAATGAGCCAATTAGGGTTGTTTTGATTTTTAATGCTAGGTTACGCGAGCTTATAGTTGTTCTAAGATAATTTTTATAGCGTCTGCCGGTTACAACATTTCCAGCTCTTTGCTCACGTATTTTGGATTGATGCAAAACCCACAAAGCTCATCTCACAGCAACCTTGAGGTAATAAGAGGAAAGGATCTTATATTTCATATTTCTGGACAGAGAAAAAATGAGAGCTGATTGATCTAAGTTGTCATTTTTTTCCTTTGGCCATAGAGAGGTAGTTGACTTATTCTTTTTCAGAATTAGTGTCATTTCTGAGCCAAAATTATTTAAAGGGCTGTGATTTACATTTATTGCCTAAAGTGACTTTGCTTTCAGCAGGTAGGATATGGATTGTTCATGTATTGATTTGCAAAGGTGGTAGCATTTTAATAAGGCTCTATATCTGAAAACTAAGTGAATGAATAGGCTTTAGTTAACTAGCAGAAAGTATCTTATGATACTGTGACCTGTCACCATCCTACAGTAAGTACTATCCTACGGTTAAGTTCCCAAAACCCTGATGTATTTTAGATTGAGTTTTATCTATTATCTAATAAGGGAGCAAAATAAAATCTATATAACATTTATGCATGTTTTGCTTTTTTTTTAAACTTGACTCTTAGACTAGTACATCTTCAGGTAGAATATTTGAACATTTAGAAAGTTTTAAAGAAGAAATTAAGAATCATTCATCCCCTACTCAGAGATAACCTGCTATTAATATTTTGGCAGTTTTTGCCTAGAAGTCTCGTTGTTCTCCGCATGTTATATACAAACATATACTTCTTTTTAAAGGTAACATCAGGGTCATACTTCTTAAATGCAGCCAGTTTAAAAAACTTGCCATTTGTGTTTGTGACAGAGTTTTTGTCTGTAGTGCGGGGGGAGGTAGTGGTTAGAATTTATGTAGTATAAACCGTAAAATTTAAACCTACACAGCCGACTTCAGAGTCTTCGCTTTAGCCTTTATTAGGTCATGTGGCTATACTACAGTTTAACTCTTCACATATCGTTAATCATTTAATTCATTTCCCGCAGCCCCATCACATAAATTTTTGTTTGCATCTCTGAGTGTGTCCTTAGGAAAAAATTCTAGAAAAAGATTTACTAGTTAAAGGGTTGAATGAAGATTTATATAGTTAGTAGGAGTGATGTAACTACTGCTTATTAACTTAAAAATAGATCTATACACAATAAAGAGGCATTCTTTGAAAACAGTTCTATATGTAAACCAAAATATCTTTTTACTAAAAAAAAGTAGTCTAGTTTTTCTGCAGGTTAAGCCGGGACAGAGAACTTGTTTTCCTTTTCTGTTTTTGTCAGAAATTTTATGTTTGTAAATTTCTTACTCTTTTCTGTACTGTTCCATCACTCATTACTGTGTTTAGGTTA